GTTATCTTTTCTACACTTGGTGGTGTTATTTCCAACATCCGGGAATTCATGCAGCCCCAGTCACTGAAGAATTTTCCAGACGCCATTTTCCATCTGAGGTTTAGAACAGCAACTGGTGAGTCAAACTACCTAAATGTTGGTATTTTACTGACTTTCTTTAAGGAAATACAGTTGTAAACATATTGTTAAGTTAATAACTTCAGAATGGAGTGACAATTTTAAACTTCTGCGGTTCATTCATGGTCGTTTGTGTATCTAGCTTAACTGCATTACTATTCACTTCTTTTCAAGAATGTTTTATATATGCTCACGCATACATAATGCATAAAAACATCAAATGTACATGTTCAACACATTTCTGTCACGCTTAATGCCATTTTGTGCGTTGTTACCCATCTGTAAAATAAAATCGACACTTCTCCTTTAATTCGAAACAAACTAGCGAGAGATTCACCGGAGCAGCCTAACCTACTCTGCCCGGATGCTAACGGCAACACAGGACGGTTTCCATGAGCTCTGGAGAGTTTCTAAAACATATCTGGTGGGTAAATGAACATATGCTTACTTGTAAAAGGCTTCCTGACTAAAACATATGATTGTTTGTTATTCATGTACGTTAATTTGGTTGTTTTAAACACCGCGGCCCTTTTAAACTGGTTCATTCGTGGCCGTCCATATACCGTTAGTCCATAGACTCGCGTGATAACGTACGCTTGAATTATATTAAGCGTTGACAACCATTAAAGTCGGAATGTTAACATTAATGTCTTTAAATGACCGCGCTTGCACTTTCTCAGACTTTTAAGGTTACAGAAGTCTCCCGGAAGTTGTGGGACTAACGTTAACGTTATCCCGCAAATGCACAGAGACTCCCAGATGCCCAAGTAGATGCCCGCAAATGAATGATAATCTCCCGGAAATCGCGCGTCTCCCGCCCGGTCATTAAACACTTTGCACACCCCTCTCCACCGCATCCCTCCCAGCTCTTCAGGTACGTCGCGCGCAAGTCACCCCCACCGCTCTTTAACGTTAGGTACGTCGCGCGCAACTCAGCATTGTTCTTTAGGTACTTATTTCTCCCGCTACCTCCCGCAAATCAACTCTATCCCCCGAAAATTACTTTTCCCAACTCGGGATGTCTGACGTTAGTAAGTTAGGCTATTTCTGTAGTCAGGAACATCTTAGTCAAGCTTTTTCTCCCGCATGATATTGTGCTTAAAACTATAGGCTAAACTTAGCATGTACTGTACACAACATTTCCTTTTTATTAAAGACAATTTAGTGCGTTGTAAACAGCCGCCTGTCTGTAAAATTAATCAACTGATTCATATTTGAGCAGCCTAATGATGATACAGGTTTGATTTGTAGATTTATTATCAATAATCAACATCTGAATCAAAAGATATCTGAAAAAGTGTGAGGCATACTTTGTGATGTTCATCTCTCCTTTTTATCTGAAGGTTATGCATCTGTGTTAGATACTAATTTTTTGTTGTTTTTTTAACAGCCACAGTTCTCTGTACAATAACACAAGACCCTGTGACGGTGGCTGATTAGAGACGGATGGTGTATTTCCAGAGTTGGTGAAATGACCAAGCACACCTTCTTGGTCATATGTGGTGATAATAATGAAGGTATGTTTGATAAAGTTCTGTATTTGTTTCACAATAAGCTGAGAGGGTATTAGAGCATTAAAGAATAATGAATGACATGAAGGTGATAAGTTTTGTATTGTGGGTGAACTGTTACTTAAATAATGTTTTGCTCTTTACTTTGCACTTCTGCTTATCCTAATATTTTAGGTTATATTTGGACCTGAAACATCTGCTAGACTCCAGTAAAGGTGGCCTCAATACTGGACCTGAAAGGGCCTAACAAGTTGAATCTGGTAAAGAAACACGCACACGCACGCACGCACGCACGAACGCACGCACACGCTTACAGAAAACTGTTGTTTATGAAGTTTATGAATATTTTTTACACTGTGGCCAATATTTTGGGGAAGTCAGCATCACTAAATGATATAAAAGATTTTAAGCTCCTCTAAATTTTGCTCCAAGTGTTGTGTTAAATTCAGGATTCTGGACAGACAGCTGCCTGTTTGTCCAGTTCTAGTCATAGTGGTTAACCTAATTGTTTTTGGAGATGCAACAGTGATGTGTGTGTTTTTTCTACTTTTCCATATCCTGTCACCTCAACCAGCTGGGAGAGTCAAGTTGTGGATCATCATGAAGATTTTCAAAAGGTGAGTTTAGATTTCTTGAATGTTTTATTTACTTTAAATGTTCTTTTAAATATATCATAGAATTTGATTGCAATTTGTTTTCAAACATTTTTCTTAGTCATGCTGGAGTCTTGAAGAGCTCTTAGATGACCATCACCCTATATCCGTGCATCAGGAACCACCAGACGAGCGATCAGCAGCTGCTACTGTACATCGTCATGGATAAAAAGGTCATCCTGTGGCTGGGAAGCACTTTATTCACAGGACATGCTTGATGAGATTTCCTAGCTCCAGTTTGTTTTCACACAAGTTTACAGCATTTATACCTTCATTTAAACTGCTCTGTTTGATATGGAGGACCAAGGAAACACCAGAAGTGAAAGATTTGCAAGCCAAGTTGTTTAAAATGTAATTTCAGAAGAAAACTATGAGTGACACTATATTGAACTTTCAAATTGCTCTGATAACACATCAAGTTTGGACTAAAGGACTGAAACAGCCTTTTTGAGCACTGGTCATACATATTTTGTTGATACTGTCTGTACTAATAAAACATTTAAAGCATATTTGACATTGTTGCATTTTAAAAACTGAATGAATTGTTGAAGTGGTGAATGTTTTCAAATAAAATGTTTTTTTCTTTTGTAATTTACAGTCTATTTGACCTTTTTACCATATTTACACTCAAGAGAGTTAAATAAAATAACAATATATTACACCAGGCGGTGTTAAATATAGTTACATTTTTTAACTCTGCCCAGAGTTAAAATTAACCCTTACTTCGGTGTCAATATGCCAACCCTTTTGAAAGTGTTGATTTAACTTTGTTTTGAGTGGACCCCATGAGACACTTTCAAAGTGTTGAAATTAACACCCATAGAGTTGTTTTGGGTCCCCATATTTTGCTGTGTAGCTGGTTTTCTGCCATATTGGCTGCAATGTAAATAATGAGGGACTCGGGCAGAGGAATATGAAACTATTGGGACATGGTTTAATCGTGTGCTGTTTACTCACTCAAAGGCCTCACAATGCCTTGCTTTAGTCATTGTGTATGTTTGAGCGCCACCTATTGTGGGAAAGATGCTAATACAGGCACATATACATGCTGGGAATCAAAAGAATTCAAGGTCATGACAATGAAAGAAAAAGAAAGTTATATGTTTTAGTCTCTCAGGAGAAGCACTTCCTTCCATGATAAGAGCACACACTGAAGTGAAAAGGAAACCTGGACTGTTTTTCTTTGTTAAAGATTACAGTTTCTGCATTTTGTGATTCACATGTGATTGTGGGGTGATCTCTGCTCTGTCAGCTTTTTTTAATATAAAATTTTTATTTTGACTTAAAGCATCACAGAGCAGTACAAAAAACAACAACAACTATAAAGACAGAAGACAGAAAAAAAGATTTTAAAACAATTTTTACATCAGTTTATCCAGTTTTATACATAGGTTAATAATGTTACACACTTATTTCTTGGCCAGTGGGCACAGGCAATACAATGACAGGGTCATATCCTTAAACTGTTGTCCTTGACATTTGACAGATAATAATAATAAAAAAAAAACTTCATACTGTGTCTTCGAAGCCTGTAACGCTATCTGAAAGATTGTGTCTAAGTCTCTCTAATTGTAAAGTGCTAGAGAATTCTGAAAGTCAGGGTTTAAACAGTGGTTTTGATGCCTTTTTCCATAGACAAAGAATATATTTTAGCTATCAATATTCCATATTGGATAGCTTTTTTAATCTGATTACTTTGGTCAAACCAACTAAAACAGCAATTCCTGGATCAGGGGGAGTTCATAAGATCAATCTGAATATTTCGCTCTGAAACTCGAAACTTTTGATGTTGAAAATTAAACTCTACAATTTAACTAGGTGACTTTTATTTACATTTTTGTAGTTTGAAATAATGTAATGTACTGTATAAGAAATAATATATAAATAAATAAGTCTGGGAGGCGCATTGGTGCAGTAGGTAGTGCTGTCGCCTCACAGTAAGAAGGTTGCTGGTTCGAGCCTCGGCTGAGTCAGTTGTCGTTTCTGTGTGTGGTTTGCATGTTCTCTCTGCGTTCACGTGGGTTTCCTCCGGGTGCTCCGGTTTCCCCCACAGTCCAAAGACATGCGGTACAGGTGAATTGGGTAGACTAAATTGTCCGTAGTGTATGAGTGTGAATGAGTGTGTAGGATGTTTCCCAGAGATGGGTTGCAGCTGGAAGGGGATCCGCTGCGTAAAACATGTGCTGGATAAGTTGGCGGTTCATTCTGCTGTGGCAACCCCAGATAAATAAAGTGACTAAGCCTAAAAGAGAATGAATGAATGAATGAAATAAGTCTAAAATAACTGTAAAAATGTACTTGCAGTTCATTACACGGTGTTTGTACTGTAATATACAACAGCAAACCAGACAATATATCACTTTAAACTATTAAAAATGTTAATAAAAGTCACTTTTCAAACTTTTAAACTTTTAAAAGTTGCTGTAAGAAAGTTCAAGATACCATAATGCAATTCAAAAGCAAAAATAAATGTGGAAAAATTAACAGAAATCACAAAATAGGAAAAGCTGCTAGTTTATGGATATTTATTACAGTGCATTAAAAGTTTAGTTAGTGGAGGACAGCTGTGACAGAACAAGAGTCATTTTGTCATATAAAATACATTAAAAAAATGTTCTGATTCACTCATGAAAGGCAGTTTAACAGCTGGGTGTTACGTAATGCTTAATCATTATTGTCAATTTGGGGAATAAACCCTGCCATGTTTTATTTCTCGCAGGTATTTGATTCCATCTCTGGACCGATCGCATGCTGGCTTCTACAGGTGCATTGTGAGGAACCGAGTTGGAGCTCTGTTACAGAGGAGAACTGAAGTACAAGTGGCATGTGAGTAACTTTCGAGCACTTTGATTTGTGTGTGATTATTACTAGACTATGTAGACATAGAACATGCAATATCTATTTGTTTTGGTATTATTTAAAGTGGTTTTCTGTAATTTGCTAGCTATTATCACTTCACACAGTGTGAATAAAAAAAGTATCATGAAGCCCATTAGATTTTAAAATGCATCTATAATTCAAGCAAACTATATTCTTGTATATGTATTTATAAGATTTGGTATTGTTAAAGGGGTATTTCACCCCCCAAAAATTAACATTTACTTACTATTTACTCACCCTCAGGTGGTTCTAAACCTTTATGAGTTTTGTTTTTCCTGATGAACACACAACAAGATATTGTGAAGAAGCTGAAAAACTTGTAAACACTGACTTCCATACTAGGAAAAAACAAATACTATGGAAGTCAATGGTTACAAGTCTCCGGCTTTAAAAAAAAAAAAAAAAAAAAAAATATATATATATATATATATATATATATATATATATATATATATAGTTTTTTTTGGGTGTGTGTTTAACAAGTGATAACAATCACTTCATTTAATAAGTGATACCAATAATTTCATTTTTGGGTGTACTATTAATTTAAGTAAAATCACAGAAGCAACAGTGTTGTTTTCTACAATATCAGCCTGCGATCACAATCACAAACTGATTATTTTATGCAAAACTTCAACAAACAAAAAGTTAATACTCACATTTTAAAGTGATTCGCATGATTGCAAGTCATTTATGAGTGTGAAGTCTTCAGGTATTACAAATAAGATCCTGTTCGAGAGATAAATGAATCAGCAGTTTTGAATGGGTCACTTGAATAAATCATTCAGTGAATCAGTGAAACAGTTCACCCAAAACTGATAATTCTGTTGTCATTTACTCAACCCTCACTTGTATATATTGATATACATTTGGAGTCAGAATTATTAGCCCCCCTGAATTATTTGACCCACTGTTTATTTTTTTTCCTGTTTATTCTGTTTATTTATTTCAATTTAACAGAGAGCAGGTTTTTTTCAACACATTTAGAAACATAATAGTTTTATTAACTCATCTCTAATAACGGATTTTTTTTTTATCTTTGTCATGATGACAGTAAATAATATTTTACTAGATATTTTTCAAGACACTTCTATACAGCTTAAAGTGACATTTAAAGGCTTAACTAGGTTAATTAGGGTAACTTGGCAGGTTAGGGTAATTAGGCAAGTTATTGTATAATGATGGTTTGTTCTGTAGACTATTAAAAATATAGTTTAAAGGGGATAAAAATTTTGTTCTTAAAATGTAAAAAAAAAATAACTTATTTTATTCTAGCTGGGATAAAACAAATAAAATAATAAAATAGATAAAATAATATTATACACACTGTGAAATGGTCCTTGCTCTGTTAAACATAATTTGGAAAATATTTAAAAAATAAAAAATAATAAAAATAAACAATCAAAGGGGGCTAATAATTCTGACTTCAACTGTATATGCTTGATAAATACTTTGTATATATCTTTAATACCAAAGGTCTCAAACTCAATTCCTGGATTGCGCCAGCTCTGCACAGTTTTCCTCTAACCCTGATCAAACACAGCTGATCCAACTAATCAAGGTGTTCAAGACTACTAGAGACTATTAAGCAGGTGTGAGTTGGAGGTGGTTGGAGCTAAACTGTGCAGAGATGCGGCCCTCCAGGAACTGAGTTTGAGACCATTGTTGTATACAATATATACCTTGATATAACCTTCACTTGATCAATATTTTTTTATAAATGTTGGAAACCTGTAACCATTGACTTTCATAGTATGCTTTGCCTACCATGGAAGTCAATGGTTACAGGTTTCTAACATTTTTCATTTTGCCAATTTTACATTGTCCTGCTTTTTTGGGAGTATGTTGTTGTATTTCGCACTGTCTGTATTTTGCACTGTCTGGAGCCAGCACCTAAGCTTTACACTCATCATAGCACACCTGCTGCTATGTGTCAATAAAAGTGATTTGATTTGATTTAATACCTAGAACGACTTAAAACAAATGAAGTTGTTTTAATTTTTGGGTGAACTATCACTTTAAGGCAGCAACTTAAAGAGCACAAGCATAAGACACAATATCCTTTAATTATCATTGCAAAAAACATTTTGTTCATTTATTTACTCATTCATTTTTATTCGGCTTAGTCTCTATTTCAGAGGTCGCCACGGCAGAATGAACCACCAACTATTGCATATGTTTTATGCATTGAACGACCTTCCAGCTGCAACCTAGTACAGGGAAACACCCACCCACCCACACACACACACACACACACACACACACACACACACATTAATACACAACGGCCAATTTAGTTAATTCAACTCATCTGTAGCGCATGTCTTTGGACTGTATGGGAAACCGGAGCACCCAGAGGAAACCCACGCCAACACGGGGAGAACATGCAAACTCCACATAGAAATGCCAACTGGCCCAGCGGGACTCGAACCAGTAAGCCTTCTTTTGTGAGGCAACACTGCTAACCACTGAGCCATTGTGCCACCAAATAATAATTTATTTATTTTTAGTATCACACACCACTACTAGGCAGTGTAAGTGTGTGTGTGTTCAGAGGGCCAGCAGCTGTTGGTGAGGTGCTGTACCTCTGTTTCATTAAAACCTCCTCTCCAATGGCACAGCTGGTCCACTCAAACTTCCTCATTAGATTGATGAGGTTGTGCCGACCAATCACTTCGCTCTCTCCGAATTTAATTCATTCCTGCGTTTTATAATCTGTTTAGCACGAGGAACAGCTGCTGCGATTGAACCGAGTGCCGAGCCTCTGGTGTTTCAAGCCAAATTCAAGTTTCACTGCCCACTGACCTCTCGCCGAATGTTTCTGGTCATTATTAAAGTTTGATTTTCTTTGTGAGAGTCAAAAGCAGTTTCCTGTCTTTAATCAATATGCTTCTTGGTGACTTCCTGCTTGCTGATTCGGATGCATAATATAATATAATATAATATAATATAATATAATATAATATAATATAATATAATATAATATAATATAATATAATATAATATAATATAATATAATAATTTGAAGTGTGATTTAAAAATAATTATTTTTAAATATTTTGTTTTTACCTATTTATTAATTAATTAATACATTAATTAATTTATTGCTTTATTTATAATAATAATAGTAAATAATAATAATAATTGTTGTTTTTGTTGTTGTTGTTGTTGTTGTTGTTGTTATTATTTAAATGATTTTTTTTTATTTAGTTAGGGAAATCAACTGTTACAACTGATTTATTTATTATAATAGGTTTTGTACAAACACATAAATAAATAAATAAATAAATAAATAAAATAATTTGAAAATAATATAATAATTAAATTTAATAATAATAATTATTATTACTATTATAAGTATAATAATTAAGCATTAAAATTATAAATGATAATAATAATAATAATAATAATAATAATAATAATAATAATAATAATAATAATAATAATAATAATAATTAAAGTGTGATTTTAAAAATAATTATAGTAAATATATATATATATTTTTTTTATTTAACTTTATTTAGTTAAATAAATCTACTGTGGCTAATTATTTATTTGTTCTAATAAATAGTGTACAAAAATTAAATTTAATAAATAAATAAATAAATTAATTAATTAATACATAATACAGTAGATAAACTACGAGCAGCGCTTACTACATAAGCAGAATAATTAAACATTAGACCAATGAGAGGAATTAAAGTCATTTTAAGAAGATTTTAGTCAATAAGTTAAAAAAGGATCATAAATACAATGGCTAGTAAAGAGATTTAACTGTTTATCCCTTTTAACCAATAGGTTTCCAAACTGTTTGTTAACAAGGTACTAAAACATTAATTAATTGGACTATTATCAGTGTTGCAATTTAGTTGCAACGTGTTTGAATTTGGCATAAAATGTGTTGAAAACCAAAACAAAATGCAAAACAGTTGCTTTCACATCAGACCAATGAGAAAAAATAAAGTCGTTTTAAAAAGATTTTAGTCCAATAGTTAAAAACTCTAGTATCTTAAATACAATTGCTATTAATAAACTGTTACTAAATCGATGTGATGTTATAATGTCATACAATTTAAGGTAAAACTTTAGAATAATGGTCCATTAGTTAATGTTAGATAATGTATTTACTAACATTAACTGAGCACACTGTAAAAACTAACAGTCAACTTTATCAAATGAAATGAGTGTAGTTCAATTATTTACAATTATTTACAGTAAAAAATTTACAGAAAGTTAATTCTACTCATTTGAAAAAAGTTTTGAACTTAGTGTTGAAGGTAATGAGTTCAATTAAATACCTCATTACTTCAACTTAAATAGAGTAAGTTCACAGTACTCATATAGATTTGTTTATTTTTTTTAATCAAGTGGTTTGTTGCAATCAGTTTCCTCAAACGGTTTGAGTTGCCTTAACTTATTGGCTTTTACAGTACTTGTTTGGTTTAAGTTCTCTGCAGTTTTACTGTGCTAAAAATACTTTGTTTACTCAACTGGATTAAGTTCACAGTACTCATTGGGATTAGTTTTTGAACTTAAATGGTTTGTTGCAATTGGTTTGCTTAAACGGTTTGAGTTGCCTCAAAGGGGTGGTCCACTACGATATCATGTTTTAAACTTTAGTTGATGTGTAATGTAGCTGTGTGAACATAAACATCACCTCTGAATGTAAGACGCTCAAAGTTCAATGCAAAGGGAGACCTTGGTTTTTATAGAGTTAGCATAGCAAAGCCTACAATGTCTAAATTTTGGGGACGAAAAAAATACTTCTGGCCCTGTAAGATCACAAACGTTCTTTTACCGCGCACACACAATGTACAACCAAGGGGCGTGGCCAGAGGCGCTGTAAGGTTACAGCAGAGATAGAGCTAAAATGGCGTCCCAACGCTGCTAATTCCACAGAGCTTCTTCTGTTTCTGTATTTGGGCTTCCAAAGGACACGACACAAA